GGATCACGCCCGGAGCACGCGCCCTGCTCAGCTTCACACACCTTCAGCCAGGAGGAAAACTCTGCCCCGCTGAAAGGGGACCAATTTCCTTCATGGATTTCCTTCATGGAATTCCATCCTTCACGGAATTCCATCCTTCATGAAATTCCATCCTTCACGGAATTCCATCCTTCACAAAATTCCATCCTTCATGGAATCCATCCTTCACGGAATTCCATCCTTCACAAAATTCCATCCTTCATGGAATTCCATCCTTCACGAAATTCCATCCTTCATGGAATTCCATCCTTCATAAAATTCCATCCTTCATGGAATTCCATCCTTCACGGAATTCCATCCTTCATGAAATTCCATCCTTCACAAAATTCCATCCTTCATGGAATTCCATCCTTCATAAAATTGCATCCTTCATAAAATTGCATCCTTCATGGAATCCGTCCTTTGTGGAATTCCATCCTTCACAAAATTCCATCCTTCACGGAATTCCATCCTTCACAAAATTCCATCCTTCACAAAATTCCACCCTTCACGGAATTCCATCTTTCATGGAATTCCATCCTTCATAAAATTGCATCCTTCATAAAATTGCATCCTTCATGGAATGCCATCCTTCACGGAATTCCATCCTTCACAAAATTCCACCCTTCACGGAATTCCAGCATCACTCTTCCAAGAGCTCTTGGCAGAACGACAGCTGCTCTGACACTCAGTAATTACAGGGAAGGAGAATTCTCTTGCTGTTGTCTTTAAATTCCGTTCCTTGACTTGAAGAAATAATCTTGAAACATCGGGGAATCAAAGAGAGMGCATATGTTTGTCATCAAAAAGCCTCCACCAGAGTAAATATTTGCTTATGGCAGCAGAAGAGTTTGAATATTTTCCAAACACGGCAAGAATGTGGTGAGGACATCTGTAGGGTTGTGACTGGCACTGGGATGATCTTGGAGGAGGTGGATGCAGGGAGACAGGAGAGTCCATCAGCTCTGGGATTTTCGGGGTGTGACACCCTTGACAGTGGGATCCCACTGGCCTTGGGCAAAGGACAGAGCCAGGAGCACGCCAAGAGCAGATTTTACGGGATTTTTACGAGCACGTTTTCCATCTCAGCTGCAGAACACAGAGATTCTCCCATCTGCTCGTCCCCCAGGGCGGGTTTTTCCTGAGACTTTACCCAGCTCTGTCTCCTCTGCAGTGCCCACCTCGTGCTGGGAGTGCCCTGCACGTGGGTTATTCACGCTCAGGGCTGGATCCTGTCCAACCCTGCTGTCTTTGAGCAGGGAAAAGCAATTAAGAGGGCAAATTTAGGGTGCAGGAGAGTAAATCTGCTGGAGAACGTCGTGGTGAGCTCTGAAGGTAAGAGGAGCTGGCAGCCAGCCAGGGGTGCAGTGCTCACTGCACTGAGGGGACAGCGCAGAATGACAAGTGACATCCCACTAGTGTCACCATCCCACGAGTGCCACCAGCCCCTTCCACCCGAATTTGGGGACAGAATTGTGGGTTCAGGCAGGGCCAATCCACCCCTGAGCCCCCCTACAGCGGGCCTTGGGGTGAAACGAGGGTTTGAGAAATAAATCCTCTGCCTGAGGGAGAGTCACAAACACGCCCTGCTTTATCAGCTGCACAAATGCTGCAGCCAAGGGAGGGACAGGCAGCTCTGAGCCCCCAAAAATGGGAAACGGGGTCCATGGGGGCTCTGGAACCCACAACCAAACCAGACCCCATTCCTGCTGCACAAAGGCAACGCTGGGCAGCGTCCTGGTAAAGAAACAAAACTTTATTTTGTAAAAGTTGGAGGAAATATTTAAAGAACCAAGCGAACGAGGAGCTGTGAATAAGGAAAAACATCATCTCCGAAGAGCAAACAGAGCCCCAGCGCTCCCAGAGCCCAGCAAAGCCCAGCACCCCGGGGCTCAGAGCCTGGCACGGTCCTGCTGGGGCAGGGGCTGTCCCTGCTGGAACCCGGGAACATCCCAAAACCCCCGAGCACCGAGAGAGCCTGCAGAGCTCCCG